TCAATTAGCGGATATATTTACAAGATGTATCCCTAGTCTTTGTTGACACAAAATCTCAATTAGCGGATATATTTACTAAGCCTCTTGGAGAAGATGATTTTTGTCGCATAAGAAATTTACTAAGCCTCTTGGAGAAGATGATTTTTGTCGCATAAGAAATGGCTTGGGCTTATGCAATATGTGATAGTTCTAAATTGCTTGCTTCTTTTCGTTGCATTTTTTTTGTGTAGCATGCATGTCTCTTTACCCCATTTTTGATGGTGACAAAGGGGGAGAGAAATCTCCTCATTTGTTGCATATACTTAGGGGGAGCTCATAGATAGGGGGAGCACCTATCTATAAGCTATTTTAATTTTGCTCTTATATAATGGTTGGTTGTCATCATCAAAAAGAGGGAGATTGTTAGCCCTTATGTTTTGATGATGTTTTACAACCACCATTAACGGTACTAATGGCTCATTGAGTGCAAATGTAGTAAATTCATATATCAAGCTTGTTAGTGCCATTCATGGAGGATTGGATGGAATATACGCTACAACGATGATATCCAAAGGAGGAGGAGGCATAGTGATGAAGCAATGTTATTTCAAGAACAACAAATTCATATAAAAGCTTCATCCAAACTCAAGCTATATCAAGACTCAAGAATTGTATTCTATGTGAGGATATTAGCTAGTTTTTATTTTCTCTCTAGTATTAGAATGTAGGCAAAGAGTTATTGATTTCACTTGAAGTTATTGGGACTCACACACACGTTTTCATACTTATGCCTTTAAGCGTTTTTCACAAAATACTATTTTTCACAAGTATGAGGACCTATCTACAAAATTCCTTTTTCAAACAGTTTGTTTTTAGCATTAAAAACATTTTACAAAGTCTCATAATTTTCAGAGGTCAAATAAATATTTTCTAAATATTTTTGTTTGAGTCAAAATACTGTTCTGGAATGTATCAGAATGCGGTCGACCGCACTTATGACCATTCATCACTGGGCGACAGAGAGTCTATCGGTCGACCGCACCGGTTGACCGAAAGCCTGATTTTTCTATCGGTCGACCGCACCGGTCGACCGATGAAGTCTCTGTTTGTTTCATTGTTTTCAAACCTGCTCGCGGTCGACCGGATTTTCCGTCGGTCGACCGTTTTCCTAATTTCGGTCGACCGAATATTCTATCGGTCGACCGAAAATCTATTCGGTCAACGGTCGACCGTTTTCCTAATTTCGGTCGACCGAATATTCTATCGGTCGACCGAAAATCTATTCGGTCAATCGAGACTTTTTTAAACGGTCGTTTGCCTTCTTTACTGTGCTATCACTTAACTGTGTTTGGCACAGTCTGTGGCATTGTCTGAAAAGGAGATTATTTTCTTGTGCTATCACTTAACTGTGTTTGGCACAGTCTGTGGCATTGTCTGAAAAGGAGATTATTTTCTTAATTAGGAAGATTGGGTTGTGATTTTAAAATGATTAATCTCTCCTATTTAAACCCATACTCCTTCATCTTCTTGGCTGTCCTAATTTCTGCAAAAACCAGAGAGATGCTGTCTTCCTGATAAAAATTTTCAAAATCTGTTCTCTGTGTTTTCTCTGTGTTTTTGTGTGTGTTCACTTCCCAGCTTCAGTATTCTTTCTCTTTGCCATAGGGACTTGTAAAGAGAGAGTCTTGCACCATTTCTATTGTTTTGTGAGTGTGATCTTGTGTCGATCAACTGTGAGGGAGTGTGATCTGTTGAGATCAAACTGTGTAGTGTGAGATCGCGAGGGGATCGCTGTGTAGACGAAGTTCCGGCTTCCAAACCGGGTGTGTAGTGGATTTCTCCTCGAGAGTGGGGAGCGAGAGTGGGGAGCGGGGACGTTGGTCCGTGGACCGAACCTCGTTAACACATCACGTGTTAAAGGATAACGATTCCTAACCCTATCTCATTTACTTTGTTTGCATTAGAATATTGTGGTTTGCTTGTCTTAATTTTTATTACATAATTAGAGCCTCTTGACCCTAATCACCCCCCCTCTAGGGTCCAACAATTGGTATCAGAGCAATGGTCTCTATATTAGTTTTTGGTTTAACCGCCTTAGAGAAAAGATCTAATGGAGGCTTCTTTGAATATGCATATGTTAGAGGGACAATCCACCACTAGACCACCACTCTTCACCGGGAGTAATTTTGCTTATTGGAAGGCTAGGATGAGAATTCACCTTCGTTGCATTGATCTTGACATCCTAGAGCTCATAGAAAAGAAATATGTAGAAAAGTCCAAAGTCGGGAACATGACCGATGGAGAAAGGCACCAAGCCAATCTCAATGCTAAGGCCATGAACGCCTTAATTTGTGGTCTTTCCCCCAATGAATACAATAGAGTTTCCACGTTTGCAACCGCATACGAAATTTGGGTAAAATTATGTATCACACATGAAGGAACCCCCCAAGTTAAGGAATCTAAGATTAGTGGGCTTATGCATGATTATGAGCTATTTAAAATGCTTCCTAATGAATCCATTGATGCTATGTTTTCCCGTTTTACTAATATCATCAATGAATTACATGGTCTTGATAAGCACTTGTCTATTCAAGAGATGAACTACAAGATACTTCGCTCTTTGACTCCGGCATGGGAGCCCAAAGCTACGGCCATTGAGGAAGCTCATGACCTTACTACTCTAGCTCTCGATAGCCTCATCAGAAAGCTCAAGGTCCATGGGAAGAAGCTCAAGGGGAAGGAGAAGGAGGAAGTGCCATCACGGGAAATTGAGGAGCCATCACCAAAGTTGAAGACCATAGCTCTCAAAGGAGCTAGTGATAACTCCTCTTCGTCATCGGATAGTGAAGTAGATTTTTCTAGAGAAGTAGCTCATCTCTCTAGAAGAATCTCTAGACTCATAAAAATGAACAAGAAATTTAACCCCCGATCTAACAACAAGTTTTCCTCTCATGTAGGTAAATGTTTTAAGTGCAATGAACCGGGCCACATCGCTAAGGATTGCCCCAAGCTCAAGGAAAAATACATGAAGTAAAAGAAGAAGAAGGCTATGTATGCCGGATGGGAAGAATCCGAACCAAGTGACTCGGATAGTGATGAAGAAGGAGCCAAACTTGCTCTTCATGACCCCAACATTTGTTTCATGGCAAATGAACATGAGGTAATATCCGAGGCCGAAAGTGAATCTTTCTATATGCAATGTGACATAGCTATGGCTTTAGAAGAGTTGAACTTTGAATTTAAAAGAATATCTAAAGAATACTCTTCTTTTTCTTGTGATATTAAGCTAGAACAATTAACAACTTCTCTTGCACTAAAAGATGAATTGCTAGGAGATCTCGATTTCGAGAATAAGCAATTAATATCAAAGATTGAAAGACTAGAAATTGAGAGAGGTAGGACTAGACCCACTCATGCTTATGCTAATCATCATCATCATGGTAGAAATAGGTTTCATGGTTCTAACATTCATGCATACAAAAGAAATTTTGTGTGCACATATTGTATGAGACATGGACACATTTCTACTCATTGTAGGATTAAAGACAACCATGATTTTTATGGAATGATATGGGTACCCAAAGGTACCAAGACTACTAACTACCAAGGACCCAAGACTTGGGTACCTAAAGCTACTACATCTTCATCTTCATCTTTTATAGGGAACATCACGGTAACAACGTAAGGAGATGTGGTACCTTGATAGTGGTTGCTCACATCATATGACGGGCAACAAAGAGTTATTTGCAACCCTATCAAGGATTGAAGGAGGTAGTGTCACCTTCGGTGGTGGTGAGAAAGGTAAAATCATTGGTATTGTTCTATTGGTAAGAAACCCTCACCCGTTATAGAAGATGTTTATTTGGTAAATGGTTTGAATCATAATCTTCTTAGCATTAGCTAATTGAGTGATAAAGGTTTTGATATTTCTTTTAAATCGGATAAATGCATCATTAGTATGAATGAGAAAATTGTTTTTATTGCTAATCGCAAATCTAATGTATATATTTTTGAGAT